AAAAAATCTGACATTCTCTTCCAGTTCCTTTTTTCTTTATCAGTTCTTCAGGTGGATGTGGCTAGAATTTAGGCAATTTGTCTCCATGCATAGTTTATAAGAAAATATCACACATTTTTGGTCATGATAAAGCTTAGAGCATGCTGCTAGGAGGGGCTATTCCTTGAAGAGAAATATGCTTGGAAGGGTGGAGGGTCAGCAAAGGAGAGGACATGGTGTTTGCTGCAATGAGCTGTAGTGTGTCAGGAAGTGTGAAGATGGCATAGAATAGGACAGGGTTCAGCTCTGCTGTTCATAGGGTTGCTATGAGTCGCACTTGACTCAACAGCACCTAACAACAACAACAACAATAATCATCACACCTCAGAAACTGAGACAGGAATGAGTTCAGGTCTTTTGTTCATAGAGTCATTATGAGTAGTCTATGACTTGACAGCACGTAAGAACAAACTAGAGAGAGCTCTGTTGGCCTAGTGGATAGAAAGTTATGCTACCAAGCCAAAGGTGGATGATTTTAATCTGTGGCCCTCACCTTAATTGGTTTTGGTCAAAGATTCTTCTAAGTGGCATAGCACTGAGATGCCCATTTGCTGTACAGAGGTAACTCGTAGTTGCTGTGATGCTGAACACTGTGACATTGATATGTCAAATGCAACAATGGTTACCCATGGTGGACAGTGTTTGGTGGAACTCCCTGATTAAACGAGCTTGGAAGCAGGAGTGGCATCCACTTCCGAAATAGTTTGCCTCCGGAAACTCTATGAACTTGGAGAAATGATGAAAGATATACAAGTGTTCAGGTCTTTCATTCATAGAGTCGCTACGAGTCATCTACGATTTGATGGCACTTAACAACAACAACAACAACAGGAGTTAGATAAGTCTTAGAGAGAGTGCAGCCAGAATGCTCCTTGGTGGCAAGGATGACAAAGCTTTGTCTCACATACTTTAGGCATGTTCTTAGGAGAGGTTATTCCTTAGAGAAGGACATCATGCTTGGAAAGGTAGAGGTCAGAGAAAGAGAGGAAGACTCTTGATGGGATCAAATGACATGGTGATTGCAGCAATAGGCTTAAGTATGTCAGAGACTGTGAAGATAGAACAAGTTTCAGCTCTGTTGTTCATAAAGTCATTATGAGTCATACTTGATTCCATGGCACCTAACAAAAGGAACTAAAAAGATGTTTACTCATATCGTATTGACTATGCAAAGGGTTTTGACTCTTTGGGTCATAACAAATCATGGCTAACACTGAAAAGAATGAGAATCCCATGTTATGACACTAGCGTTTGAGTGAATAACACATAGGCCAAGAAGATGTTTTCCAAAGAGAACCAGGGAACACGGAATGGTTTTAAAGCAGGGAAGTCAGGGCTGTATTATTTCTTCATACGTATTCAATGTGTATGCTGAACAAATAATTCAAGAAGATAGACTGTATGAAGAAAAATATACATCAAGATTGTAGGGAGACTCATTAAAAACCAGTATCATGTAAATGATACAACTTTAGTTGGCTGAAAGTGAAGAAGACTTGAAATAGTTGCTGCAGAAGGTCCAATACTGCTTCTTACAGTATGACTTACATCTCAACATCAAGAAAGCAAAAATCCTCACCATTGTCATCTGAGGCAGTTAATCATACGGGAAGCAGTTAATCACACGGGAGGAGATTGCCCATCCTTCTCCCATGGAACAGCTGGTGGATTTGAACTGCCTTCGGAATTGCAGTGCAGCTTCTTATTACTAGGTCACCAGAGTTCCCACATGGTAATAGTAGTTGTTGTTGTTGTTGTTATGTGCCATCGAGTCGTTTGCGACTCATAGCGACCCTATGTACAACAGCCCTAAACTCTGCTCTATCCTGTGCCAATCACACAGTCTCTGACACTCCCATCCCGATTATCCCAATCACTGAATCAATCCACCTCATAAGGTGCCTTCCCCCCAAAAAAAAATAAAATAAAAATTTAAAAAAAATAAGGTGCCTTCCCCTTCTGTGCTGTCCCTCCACCCTACCAAGCATGATGTCCCTCTCCAAGGACCTGTCCCTCCTTGCAACATGTCCAAAGTATGTTAGACAGAGCCTCAGAATCCTTGCCTCCAAGGAGCAGCCCAGTTTGACCTTTTCCAGGATGAATCTGTTTGTTTTCCTAGCAGTCCATAGTACCCTCAATACTCTTCTCCAGCACCAAAGCTCAAAGGCATCAATTCTCCTTCTATCCTCCTTAATCATTGTCCAACTCTCTGATGCATAACAAGTGATAGGAAAGACCATGGCCTGTATCAGATGCACCTTAGTCTCCAGAGAGACACCACTGCTCTTCAGTACTTTGGAGAGGTCCCTAACAGCAGACTTTCCCATGGCAATACATCTTCTAATTTCCTGGCTGCTGGTGCCGAGAGTGTTGACTGTGGAGCCAAGCAAACTAAAGCTGTGAACAATCTCATTCTCTTCACCATCCATCCTGATGCTGCCAATTGGTCCAGTGGTGAGAATCTTTGTCTTCTTGACATTGAGCCTCAATCCATATTGGAGGCTGCAGTCCTTGACACTCTGCAGCAAGTGCTTCAGGTCCTCCTCAGTTTCAGCAAGCAGGGTTGTATCATCTGCATATCACAGATTGTTGATAGATCTTCTACCAATCTTGACCCCACATTTCTCCTCATAGAGCCCAGTCTCCCAGACAATCTGTTCTGCATACAGGTTGAAAAGGTATGGAGACAGGACACATGCCTGGCGTACACCCTTCCCAGTTTTGAACCATGCAGTGTTCCCTTGCTCTGTTCTGACTACTGCCTCTTGGTCCAAGTATAGGTTTCGCATTAGAATGATCAAATGTTCTGGGATTCCCATTCTTCTCAGAGTCAGCCACAGTTTGTTATGGTCCACACAGTCAATGCCTTTGCATAATCAATGAAACACAGATATACATTCCTCTGGTATTCCCTGCTTTCAGCTAAGATCCATCTAACATTAGCTATAATATCCCTAGTACCACAACCCCTTCTAAACCCAGCCTTGACTTCTGGCAGTTCTCTGCTGATGTATTGTTCCAGTCGTTATTGGATAATCTTCGGTAGACTCTTGCTTGCATGTGAAATTAATAATATTGTTCTGTATTTTCCACACTCTGTTGGGTCACTCTTCTTTGGTAATAGTAGTAGTCAAGAAATCAAGAGATGTTAGCTAGTTCACTCAGCATAATGCTCTCCAGTCCCTCCCAAGTTAGGTAATAATTTACAAAATCATTGCTCCTGAATGCTGCATAGTATTCCAATGTGTGGATGAATGTATCATAATTTCTCAGTCCATTTATTTGTGGTTGGACATCTGGGCTGTCTCCATGTTCTTGCGATAGTGAATAATGCTGGTATGAACACTGGGACACAAGTCTCCATTTGGGCCTCGTTCTCACTTTTTCCAGTGTATATTCCAAGTAGCGGAATAGCTGGATCATATGGAATTTCAATGTTCAACTTTTTGAGGAAGTGCCAAACTGCCTTCCAGAATAGTTGTACCATTTTACAATACCACCAATAATCTCACCACATCCTTTCCACCATTTGTTATTTACTTTCCTGTTATACTTTGCCTCTGTTACTGGAGTGAGATAGTACCTCATTGTGGTTTTGTTTTGCATCTCTCTTATTTCCAGTCCCACAAGGACAAATATTATATAAAAACATTATTGTAGAATGAATATAAGGGTCTAAGGTGGGGGGAGAGGGTAGAAGCCCAAGGATGAGGGTGTGTAGGCGGGCGGATTAATTATGGGGTTGTATAATTTGATGGAAGGTGAGGGAAATTGGAAGAATCTGTTCTGGAAAACAATGTATTTGAATGTAAATAAACTAGTATAATTTTTAAAAAATGCAAAAACAAAAACAAAAACCAACCAACCTAACCCAAAAAAAATCAAGAAATGTGTTGCATTGGGAAAACCTGAGTCAAGGACCTCTCCAAATTGCTAAAGAGCAAGGATATCAGTTAAAGACCCAGGTGAGCCTTATTCAAGCCATGCTGTTTTTAGTTGCTTTTTATTCCTCTGGAAGTTGGATAATGAATAAGGATGATGGAAAAATTGATGCCTTTGAATTGTGATGCTGGGAAAGACTATTGAATATCCCATAGACAACCAAAAGAACAAACAAGCTTGTGTTGGAGAAATGCAACCAAGGTGGTCATTTGAGAAAAATATTGTGAAATTCTGTCTCACCTATGTTGGGCATGCTGCCAGGGGAGCCAGACCTTGGAAAAAGATTAGGTCGGGGAGACTACATCAGTGAAAGAGAGATGCATGCTTCATAAGATGGATTGGCAAAATGACTACAGCAATGCAACTGAGCATAATGGAGAATCTGAGTATGGTGCTGGTAAGGCAAGTTTTTGAACTGTTGTTCCAAGGATTGTTTGAGTCATAATCAACTCAATGGCGCCTAACACAACAAGGAGCTCGGTGGAGCTTATGTGTTGGGCCGCCAATTGAAAGGTCTACAGTTTTAATCCATCATCCACTCCACAGTGACAGCTAAGGCTGTTTGCTCTTCTTAAAATTTACAACTTTCAAAACTTGATGGAAAGTTGTCATTAGTCAGAATCAATTCAATGATAGTTGGTGGACTTAATTCTTTAATCACCTCCACAGATATCTATTAGAACCTTATATAATAATTTAAGATTTAGCATTAGAATAAAAAATCTGCTCATAAAACATATGGCAGGTTAATAAGTTTATCTGTAGAAAAAATCTCTTATGTAGTTGAGAGTATTTATGGATCTTCCTGGAGGGGATTCTGAGTTCCATGAAGGTAGGGAATAAGGCTCTCAATTTAGATCCTACAAAGAACATTTATTAAGCAACTATTGTATGCTATGCAAAATTCCAAGCATTTTCTATATCATATTGAGATGAAAAAGTTTTAAAACTTTTTATACACATACATAATTAAAGACGCCATTATTTAGAGAAAGGAAGAAAAATTTACCTAAGTTTTCTTATTTTTTCTTTGGGTTTCCCAATTAAATCTTCTAAACGTTTGTTTCTCTCTTCCAAACTGAAAGATAAATGAATTTTATTAGCAAAATTAATTTATTTAAGATTTTGTAGATTCATTGGGGAATTTGAACAGATGAAGTCAAATGGTAGCTTAGCTCTCTATCATCCATCCTTCTTGTCATATAAAACCTAAAATTCTATCCAAGCAATATGGATTATTCGGTCAGTTTTTCCTTTCATAGGTTTCAGTGGTAATGTAGGAAAGCATGTAGTAATAAATAAAGCAATACTTAGATGTTTTTCTATTTCTTAATACTGCCATTATAGAAGAGGTGTTCTATGTGCATAATATGGGGTTAATATGTTAAAAGAAAAGATCTCTGATCCAACTATATTCCATCTTCAAGACACCACTTTAGATCCAAAGACATGAATGGGTTGAAAATGAAAGGAGGGAAACTACTCCATATAAATAATAACTCATAAGTTATTAATAAGGCTCGATACTATGTCATCACAGAGATGGGAAGGCAGATCTCACTAACTCTGAGAAGAACGGATGTGAAAGGAGTGCATCATCTGGGCCTTTAGTCCCATGATGAGAAGCTGCTAGACCTACAAGACACACACACACACACAGAGAGAGAGAGAGAAAGAGAGAGAGAGAGAAAGAGAGAGAGAGAGAAAGAGAGAGAGACCTGTAACCCTAGAGATGTTGCAAGATGGTCAGAAGTGGTGGTAAAGATTATTTTAAGTTTTTCAACTTACTGTGCAATCTGTGAGTGGGATATTTCAAGCCTCTGGTCAGCACATTCAATAATTTCTTCATATGATGTAACCTTGGGGAGAAAATAAGCTAAAGAAATAACTCTTTGCTAAAGTGTGGATTTTTTTTTTTTGCATTTTGTTTATTGATTGTTTTTTTAAAACAGCTCTACACATGGAAGAACAAAGAACTTCCCATTAGTGAAAATTTTACAAAAAGCAAAATATTTTCTTTATAGTTTTGAGGTCAGGAATATAAATAGAATTATAGTGTGGCTATTTATCATGAAGAAAAAGTAAAAGAACAAAGAAGTGGGTAACTGTAGTGCATTATATTATTGAATTGTTTCATAAATATAAAAATGCAATGCTTAGGAAATGTTATTTTAATATTAAAAAGAAATGAATTTGACCATTTACTTAAAAGTCTTGTTGCTGTCGTTGGGCATTCTATGTCTTCACATGCTAAGTAAAAGAATTCTTTGGTCAAGTCTAGAATCTGTTTAAAGTTGGTTAAAACCAATAGAGTTTTAAAAATTACCAAGAATATTAAATTGACAAGTTTTAAAATAACTTTGAAAGTAGTAATACTAAAACTTTAAATTGCTCTCAGTGTAATGCTCAGTCCATATGCATGTGTGCACACACACATACACACTGACATACAATGTTTTGCTGACTTTCAATTACAAGGCTAATGGGGATATTTTACAATTAAAAAGGTATTTATATAAATTTTCTTCATCACCCTTCAAGTCCTTTTCAGTTCCATTTCTATTACTGTAATACTTGGCATACTTCTTAAAAGACAAATGTTTTTGTAAGAAAACTGTACCTTATTTATTAAGTTGCCTAAATGTCTTTGGTACGTGTCATTTTCTTCAATGAGTCTGTTGCAGTGGTCTTCTTTTGACTCTAGAAGATTTCCCAGTTTTGTAATCTATGGAAACAACAATAAAAATATACTCACCTGGAAATGGCTATGAGAGCTGCATCTGGATGTTAAAAACAAGTAGAAAAAGGAGCAGTCTCATAAACTGAGATGTACCAAGGTGGAAAATAAGAAGCTGTGGGCCAGATTACTCTGAGACACAACTGAGTAGAAATTACAATAATGTTTTAACTTGTCTCCTATTTTATATTATACTAGATGGTGCAAATCATTAAACAAGCATCTATTAAAGAGCATAAATATTTATTAGTCTCAAATCTTCATCCCCTCTTTGCCTTTGCATGGAAACATTTGATTTTACATGAAGTAAAATACTGATGCTGTACTTGATGATGCCTTCTCAGATGTGATTAAATATTCCCCCCTTGCACAAATGACTGTGAGGTTAGACATCTAAAACTAGTTTCATTGGACTAAAATGAAGATGCTAGTAGGTTTGCATTGCTTCTCAGATGCTCTAGGATAGAATCCATTTTATTCATATATATTTTCTTACATCTGCTTCTATTTTTAGATGTCATCTAAAGTAAATAATAACTATTGTTGTTGTTGTTGTTGTTATGTGCCGTCGAGTCGTTTGCGACTCAAAGCGACCCTATGTACAAAAGCCCTAAACCCTGCTCTATCCTGTGCCAATCGCATTGCCTCTTACACACCCATCCTGATTACCCCAGTCACTGAATCAATCCACCTCATAGAGGGTCTTCCCCTCCTGCGCTGTCCCTCTACTCTACCCAGCATGATGTCCCTCTCCAAAGACCTGTCTCTCCTTACAACATGTCCAAAGTATGTCAGACGAAGCCCCAGAATCCTTGCCTCCAAGGAGAAGCCTGGTTTAGCCCTCTCTAGGATGAATCTGTTTGTTTTCTTGGCAGTCCATGGTACATTTCAATACTCTTCTCCAGCACCACAGCTCAAAGGCATCAATTCTCCTTCTGTGCTCCCCAGTCATTGTCCAGCTCTCTGATGCATAACAAGTGATTGCAAAGACCATGGCCTGTATCAGGCACACCTTCGTCTCCAAAGAGACACTGTTGCTCTTGATAATTATTATTTCCCAAATTATTACGACTGCTGGAAACAGATATTACCATGAAAATAATAGTAGCATATGCAGAAATATAAATGTGCCCTACCCATCGTGGAAAAAAGCACCTATTTTTTTACTTGTACACTTTTTGGGGGGGGAATCTGATTAGTTCAAAGAAAAATCATGTGGGGCAATATATAAACTGTCAAGAATGAAAATACAAACTTTAATTTTGTATTTTTGTGGGTCATTCATGAATATTGCTGTAATGTCACAGAAATAAAGACATTTTTCTGAAGGCTGACACTTTCTTAATATTAATAAGTTTAAAAGAAAATCATTAAAATTTTTTCTTACCAAGAAATCAAGCTCCTCATTTAGACTGTGATACTTAGACAGTTTGGTTCCCAACAGGGCAGTTACATCATTGAAATTCTTGGCTTCATTTGTATCAAAGTCTGTGGACTGAGACGAAACATATTTGTGCTCAGTTTTGAAATTTTCAAACTTCCAGAGAAACTTGACAATGAATATTTCATTGTTCTAAAAAGATCAAAGAGTTCTTCAGTGATTTAGAATCATTGAAAGGTAGACTTTAGAGGTAGAAGACTAGTCACTGGACTTTTTCTGCCTCCAGGTAGAGAAACTACACGAATAAGGTTTATAAGTAACATGATTCCTAAAGGTCAGATCCCAATCAGTCAAATAAAATCTTCACATGTATTTGCAATTCAGAAAATATGGACATGGATTTATATCTAATTCTATAGCATTAATATCCTATATTTCAAGATGGCTAAAGGAACAAATAACAAATTTTCTCCCAAGTCAAAGTATCACAGAATACTAAGAAAGGCAAAGCTAATCATAATGACAACATAAGAATTTTAAATCGAACAATTATGGTTTTCTGTATGTTATGTTTTACCATTCCTTGAGAGTACAACTCCTGTAAAAGAAAAAGATTATTATTACAAATAGGGTCATTTTCAGGCCATTCATTAGGGAAAAAATGTGCAAATATATACTAAAGCATGATCTATATTCCACAACGAAATTATTTTTAAAACTTAGAAATTATTTTAAAACATTTCTTAAATACATTTTTGTGATTCATATGAAAATAGGCAAAATGAAATAAAATGGAAGCATAAAACAAAAATATATGTCCATAAATTTTAATATTACATTTTATCAGAGATCAGTATTGCAACTGTAGCTTTCTTATGTCATTTGCTTGGTACATTTTTTCCCACCCTTTGATTTTTAGTTTATGATATTCTCCTCGTTTCTGAAATGTGTCCATTCTGCTACTCTTTTTTTCTTAATCAGTGTGTTTAAGCCATTAACATTGAGAGTGCTTATTGATAGGCTAGGTTTTATCAAGCCATTTTGCTGCCATTTTTTTTCTATAATTATATTTTATTAATTTTCATAAACATTTACAGAGATTTTGGGCTTCCACTCATTCATTGTTTTTTGCGGCCATTTTTGTTGCCTTTTTTCTTTTTCCTGTTGATGGTTACTTTGATCTAACCACTTTCCTTTGCTGTTAAAGGCAGGTGGTTTGAAAAGAAAAATAATTTTAAAAAAAAACAAAAACCAACCCAGAAAAGATAAAAAGACAGGTGGTCTGAATCCACCAGCTGCTTCATAGGAGAAAACCAGGCTATCTCCTCCATGCAATTTGCAGCTTTTCAAAAAACCCCTGGAAGGTCAGCTTTGGGTTGGTTCCGACTCTATGACACATAGCAACAACAACAGCAATGTGCAATTAAGATCTAAATTCATCCAATCATTACAGAAAATACGTTTTTAAAATTAAGAACTTAAGTGACACTATATAATGAAAAGTTATCCAGAGGAAAACCTAAGGGGTGCAGGACTAGCAGTCTCCGCACTCAGCAGCATTTTAAGCAATCAAAACCATGTCACATTCCAACTGAAATATATGCATACTCCTTTTATTCAGTTGATTCTCTTTAACAACACAAACATTTATCTAAGGCTTTGTTACAGTTACTAGGTTTGTGGATTATATTACTTGGTTTTCTGTCAGGGTCAGAAAATTGAGAATTGCCTTATACGTTATCATTAAGTTAGGGGTTTTTTTGGGTAAAAGTTGTCTGAATGTTTGTACTTTTTTCATTACAACTGCCATCTTGAATGTATCTACAGTCAAGATTACAGTCTTCATTACTCCTTTTAATGGAAGAATGCCGCTTAACTTATGGCTTCATGGTTACATTTTGTTATTAATAGCTTATTTGTTTTTTAACTGTTTTCTAAGGCAAAGTTTTAGAACTTAAATCACTAAAGAGGCTAATCTGGGAAGCCTCATCCCAACATCACTTCAGTATCAGATAATTTAAATTATTTTCCAAATGAAAGTATGGCTCCTTTGTATCCAAGTCATTTACAGAGTTCATAGTCCCACTGGATAAAGATTGCCGTACTTAAGATAGTCTTAGAAAGGTTTACTCAGTGCATTATTCCAATGGAATAGCTGTAGAACTGGATTCACTTGTTATATCATATTCCTTCTGGAGTCACTTCTATTCAGGGTACACTCAATGTAGATTTAACTCTAACCAACAATGATGTAAAAAACAAGAACTTCTCAGATCTCTGGTGGCCTAGTGGTAAGAAGCTGGGCTACAGTCCAGAAGGCATGCGATTCAAACCCTCAAGCTGCTCCATGGGATGGGTTGGTTCTGACTTGATGGTACTCAAAAAATAAGAACTTCTCACAGCTTCAATAGCCACATATATAAGAATTTCCATTTTTTTACAGAGTAATAAAAAGAAAAGAACATACAGAACCATAGGAATTATTACTAGTACATTTTCATAAATATTTCTGTTGCTTATTGTTATATACCGTTGAGTTGGAACCAATCTATAACTGACCCTTCAGCGGGTTTTTAGAGGCAGTACATTGCACGAGAGTGGATTGTCCATTATTATCCCAGAAAGCACATGGTTAATTTGTACTATGCGCCTTTGGGGTGGCAGCACAGGTCCTTACCACTACACAATTAGAGTTTCCTATTCTGTTGCTGCTGTTGTTAGGAGCATGACTTGAGTATGACTTGTAGCAACCCTATTAAAATAGATCTGAACCCTGTTCTATCCTTTGCTATCCTCACCATCCCTGATATACTTGAACCCATTACTGCAGTTATCATGTCAATTCATCTTGTTGGGGATCATCCTCTCTTACACTGCACCTCTACCTTTCCAAGTTTTGCCATCTTTGCCTCCAAGGAACACTCTGGCTACATATATTCTAAGACTTAACTGTTTTTTTGGCAGACGATGGGATATTCAGAGCTCTTTTCCAGCACCACAATTCAAAGGCATCAATTTGTTCATCATCCTTACTCACTTTCAGATGCATACATAGCAAGTGACTTGAAAATACCCTGGCCTGCATCAGACACATCTTAGTCTTCAAACTGCCTTCATTGCTTTTCAAGATTTTGGAGGGATCCCTGAAAGCAGCCTTGCCCAAAGCAATGTATCTCCTTATCTCCTGACTGCTAGTATAAAAAATGTTGATTGTTGATTCAAGCAAGATGAAATAAGTGACAGTTTCAATCCTTTCTCCATCTATTATGATGATGTCTATTGGCCCAATGGTAAGAACTTTTGTCTTATGAATGTTGAGATGTAATCCATATTGTAGGCTGTAGTCTTTGATCCTCTGAGGAGGGCTTTCAGCAAGCAAGGTTTTATCATCTGCATAATATAGATTATTGATGAGTCTTCGTCTGATCCTGAAGACATATTTTTCAGACAGTTGGGCTCTATCTGTATCTGTCTTGGTTATGTGTTTAAATGGATACAAAACAAAACTAAAAATTTACATCTCTTTAACAAAGATCAAGAAGGTGTTTTAAGGGTAGCACACAAAATAAATGTTAAACTCACCTCAATAACCTGATCTTGAAATGCTTTTTCATTAGCAATTAATGCTCTAATGGTTGAGATTCTGGCTTTATGTTTCATTAGCTAAGGAAAAAAGCACAATAATTCAGAAAAAGAGAGGAAAAACCCCCACACCTTATAAAAAGAATAATAGAAACAAATTATGCACAGTCTCTTGGTCTTCAAAAGGCATACCTTCCCCCAGATTGAAAAACAAGGAACTCATGCAATATTATTCAAAATGGGTGACACTGGAGGACATGATGCTGGGTGAAATTTCTCAGTCACAAAAGGACAAATATTGCATGGTGCCACTGCTGTAAAATGGGACTGATATCAGGGTGGGGGTAAGACTGAGAAAAACTGGATAAATTGTATATACTGTACTGAAACAGATGAGGGACTGAATAATTTAAAAGTGATGTATGATAGGGTATTATATATAATATATATTTTACTTATTTTATACATATGTTTATTATTTATTACTATTTTGTTGTTGTTGTTTGATGCCGTTGAGTCGTAGATGACTCATAACGATCCTATGAACGAATGGCCTGAGCACTGTTCGTACATAGAGTTTCCGGAGGCAAGCCCTTTCGGAAGTTGATGCCGCTCTTGCTTCCATTTACTATATTATTTATTTATAATTTATTTTATTTTGTATATAACATATATAATTTATTTTATTATATACATATACAGAAGGTAAGGATTCTGAAGCTGCATCTGACATATCTGAACATGTTGCAAGGCGGGATCAGTCCTTGGAGTGAGACGTCATGCTTGGAAGGATGGAGGAACAGAACAAGAGAGGAAGACCCTCGATGAGATGGATTGATTCAGTGGCTAGGATAATGGGGGTAGGTGTATCAAAGACAATAAGATTGGCATAGAATAGAGCAGGGTTTAGGGCTGTTGTACATAGGGTCGCTATGAGTTGCAGGTGACTTGACAGTACATAACAACAATATATAAATATAAATATATATAATACACAATATATGTTACTTTCAATTAGGAAAATTTCTCCATATATAAAAGATATATCAAAAACTACAATGCGCTCCCTATAACTGCTATTCAGCTTCAATAAATAATAGCTAAGAGCCAATATTGTATTACTGAGATCCTTGTCATGCTCTTCCTCCCTCAACTCCCTTTAACTGAGTAAAATGATAGCCAACATATCATTTTGTCTCATTATTTCAGTAACTACACAGAAATTTACTAAAAGAACATAAATATTTAAAAGGGAATCTTTCTACTAGGCTACTTCGATTTTCAACTGAGTTTATTTTTGAAGGTCATTTAGAAGAGTGAAGGCCTGTGGCTTGTCTCCATGTCTGCTTACTCTTGAAATCCTTTTCTCCACATATTAGAAATGAAATTAAGAACTTAAAAAAAAACCCTACACCTTATTTTCTATCCAACTCAGTTCAGAGAATCAATTTCCTGATGTCATTGTTAGGTGCTGTTGACTCAAAGTGACACTATGAATAAGAGAGCTAAACTCTGTCCTATCCTGTGCCATCTTCACAACCTCTTACACACTTGAGCCCATTGCTGCAGTCACTGTGTCAATCTATCTGGTTGAGTGTCTTCTCTTTTGCTGATTCTCTGCATTTTTAAGCATGATGTTGCTTATTGGTCCAGTGGTGAGCATTTTTGTTTTCTTAACATTGAGATGCAATCCATATTGAAGGCTGCATATTCAACCTTCTGCATCAAGTGCTTCCAGTCCTCCTGACTTCCAGCAAGCAAGGTTGTGTCATATGCATAATTAAGGCTATTGAAAATTCTTCCTCTGATCCTGATGCCATCTTATTCTTCATAAAGTCCTCTTGAGTGATTTGCTCAGCATACAGATTAAATCTATATAGAAGACTAAATTGTTTTATCCAAGAGTCTTGGTTTTCATATGTGTTTTTGTTTTAGTAAAATTTAGCTGTCACCTCTGACTGAATTCTTTTTAGATTAAAAACACCATGACTTAATAACTGTCATCATCATACTATAATTAATTTACTAATTTATTTTCTTGTTTTTATCCCTAAATCTGTTTATCACCATAACAGAAGAATAAATTCCAAGAACCTTTTTCCCTACTCTTTTCTATCTGAGAAGTAAAATTATTTGTTCTCAACCTTTCCATTTCAAATGATGAAGTATGATATCACTATGTTGATTTTAGGGTTGGTGTGATTAAGTCAATTCAAACTCATAATACCCCTATATGTCAGATCAGAACTGCCTGCTGGGTAGCCAAGGCTGGAATCTTTACAAAAACACACCACTATGTTTTTCTCCTGCTGAACAGGTAGGTTCAAACTCCTGGACTTTTGATTAGCAGACAAGGTCTTAATCACTGTATTATCTTTATTATGAACAGAGCTTTTTGACAGAAATCACTGTAAGAATCAGTGACATTACTAGAGGAGCTCAGGGGTGTGGACCACACTAGGTGACACTCTTAGAGTGGGTAATAAAAAATAACTGTCTATAAATTTTTTGTGCAGCATTTTAGCAGAAATATTATTTTTATATAGTTTATATTTATATAAGTTATATTCTTATGTTTTCATTGAGTACCATTAGCTCAGAAATGACCCATAGCTAACCATCCAGCAGGCTTTCAGAGGCAGAAAATCACACAAGAGGAGACTGCTCGTCTTTGTCTTGTGGAGCAGCTAGTCAATTCAAACTGAGTGACTTCAGGTTGGCAGCACAGTTACTTAACACCAGGCCACCAGAGCTCCTTTATATTTGTATAGCCAATTATAATAACAAAACCATTTTCCATAAGTCTAGATTGTTGTTGTTGTTGTTGTTGTTGTTATTGTTGTTGATTGCTGTTGAGTCAAGCACAATTCATATAGAGACTCTATGAACAAACAACCCGATACCTTTCTAAAATGATCATCATTTCGTAGGGTTTCCATAGACATGTAGTTTAGAAGGTGTATGCCACTCCTACTTCCAAACCTGTCTTACACTGGGAGCCCCACCAAACACTGTCCACCTTGGGCAACCATTATGGCATCTGACACCCCAATGGCAAAAGGTTCAACATCACAGCAAACTCATATTATTACCTCAGTACAACAAACTGATAGAAGGGTGATATACAATTTAGAAGAATGTTCCTCCAAAATATAACAACACTAGTCTCACTTAAGTGAGACTTAAGTGATGGTTAAGTGCCATCAAGTCAAATATGACTCATAGCGACCCCATGAACAAAATACCTGAACCTTGTTCTACAACTAACACCATTTCTCTATGTTCATAGTTTCCAGAGACATGTGGTTTAGGAAGTAGATGCCACTCCTACTTCCAAACTTGAATCAATCTGGAAGCTCCTCCAGACACTGTCTGTGATGAGTAACCATTATGGTATTTCCACCCCCCCCCCTTAAATAGTTGATTATTGGCAGTGGGTTGGAAAAGATGATGGAGTTAGCAAACAGAGACGCCACCACAAGGGCAGGAAGAGTGATGGGAAGGAGCAGCCTGAAGCTCCAGATGAGGCCCTTCTTCTCAAGTGTTAAGTCTAAGAGGGCGCTGGGGTCTGGAGTGTCGAGGGGGGTGGCCTTAGAACACCTCCACTTAGTAGGCATGGTTAGAGACAAAGAGGGACTCGCTGGCTGCGGCCCCGGCCTGACCGCTTGGGGTGTACTTTCCTTGGCAGGCGAGGCTGTTGGCCAAGGCTCGCCTGATATACTCCTCCAGGGCTGCCTTCAGATTCTCCTTCTTCCCACCCCAGGCCTTCAATGCAGAGGCCTGCAGGGCTCAGCCATAGGAGAAGGTCAGGGCCCATGGCTTCAGCAGGGGACACTTGTTGATGGCACTGAGGTTGATGGATGCCTCCACCTCACTCTGGCGTCCAGACAGGAAGGTGATCCCAGTAACAGCGGGTGGCACTGTGCGGCGCAGTGCTGTAACAGTTGCCATGGCAATCTCCTCATGAGAAAACTTCTGTGTGCAGGCATGGCCTGCATGTTACCATGTTAGGCTTCAGCAAAGTGCCTTCCAAATAGATGTGGTGGTCACTCAGAGCCTTGTAGACAGCAGCCAGCACCTTCTCAGTTACATACTGACAGCGCTTCAGGTCATGGTAACCATCAGGGAGGATCTCAGGCTCCACGATGGGCACAATCCCATTTTGCTGGCAGATGCTGACATAACGGGCCAGCACGTTGGCATTTTCCATGATGGCAAGAGCTGAGGGGGTATGCTCTTCAATCTTCAGCACACAGCGCCACTTGGCAAAGTCAGCTCCGTCCTTCTTGTACTGGGCACAGCGCTCGGACAGCTCGCCCAGCCCTTGGGTAGTGGTCTTGCCATTAGTCCCTGCCAGGGGTACTACGCCCTTGTCTACCTTGATGTCCACAACACCACCCTTAGATTTGATGACTTGGGGGAAGGGACGCCCATATTCCACCTTCTGGTACAAGGTTTCATGGAAGAGGATGACACCCCCGATGCAGGGTTCACGTGGTCATCGGAGATCAGCAGGAGCTGGCGGTAGAAGCGGTGGTTCTCCTCTGTGTTCTCGGTTCCAATGGACTGCAGGCGCTTGGCAATGCTTCCAGTGGACTCATCTGCGGCCAGGATGCCCTTGCCCAGAGCAACGATGCGATGGGCGATGTCAGAGAGCTCCTTCTTCTGCTCCGGGGTCAGCGCTGGGTATGGGTAGGGCATGGTGTTCTTGGTGGTGAATTCCTGGGCGCTCATGGAGGAGGGGGTGCGCTCGTAGGCGGTGGGCGGTGGTGGGCTGGGGGGAGGAACGCGCCAGTCGTTCTAGCTCCGGGTTCTGCCCATTATGGTATTTGACACAACTATGGTACAGTGTTCAGTATCACAGCAACTCCACCTTACTTCAGTACAGCAAATAGATGACAGCTGTACCATTTAAAGAATGTCCACCCCAAAATTAAAACCAATAACACAAGCCTAAATGTTCTTACATGACCCTGATCAAGAGGCGAGAAACCATCTTCCAGAGTGGAACCACTTCACAGGAGCCTCCAAGTCAGCTGACATGTCCATCAATAAACTCACAAGGCTAAAATTCTCTGCTC